TCTGTGTTTTTCCCCTCCGTCCCTGTGCGTGTAGCTGTCCTTATTTGGCTTCTCTTTGAGTAAGTGAGTATGAATGTGACTGTGCGTGTGTGTGTGAGTGTTTCCTCCTGACTGTGACTCACTGCTTGTCTGACTCACAAGCGCTAACAAAAACACCGTTGCCATGGGGACTCACCCCTTCTCCCACCCTCACACATGCACACCTCTCCCCCCGTCAGTCTCTGGTTTCTCTCTGATTCCTTGCAGGCATCCCAGGCAGGCCTGGCACCGTGAGGCCGGTGCCACTCTTGACTGGGCCGGTGGCACTGAGGTGTGGGCGGGAGATAGCAAGGAGCAGGATCAAAAGGACAAAAAGGCATAAAAACTGAATAATGGTTCCCAGTTTACAACAGGTGAAAACGGTGATAACTGAAGCTGCAAAGGAACAGGACATCCTGGGGTTCAACATGAACAATCATCTGTCATCTGCAGGGAGCTGAAGAAAATGTGTGCAAAGGCCGAAAACAGAAAGTGCCCACCTGCGGCTCTCTGTTCTGTGCCTCTGCTTTTTCTGAAATTGCAGACTGCTTTGAACCGTGGCTGCTCTTTGATGTGTTGGCGTCACTGCTCGGCCACGCCATAACCTCCAGAGAGCTCGATAATGTGGCCACGTGCAGCAGCGTGTTTCAAGGAAGCCCAGGTAGGCCTCAGCATGGAGCCACAGTCTCCCAGCTGTAAAGTTTGTCCCACTTCCTGAGCACTAGCTGCTGGCGTGGTGCCGCCTGGTGGACTAACAACAGTCTGTCACGATTTCATTTTATTTTTTATATAAGTTGGTGTTATAACGTGAATGAAATTAAAATTAAATTCTGAGCTTCTCTGATATTTTCATTTAAAACACAAGAAAAAGCAATAAAAATCACAATTTTAAAAAGGTTTTTAATCATTGTATTTAAAGCTCAGAATAAATTTGACTATACTGACATCCAGACTATTAAAAACAACATTAAAACAAAAAATTTAGCTCAAATTTAAATCACTAATGTATTACCAATCAAATAGGTTTTGTATCATTTGTCTCAATGTGCATCTATAATTTTGCTCTAACTTCAAAGACACGTACCGTATTTTTCGGACTATAAGGCACACTGGATTATAAGGTGCAAATTTAGTGAAATAAACTCATTTTGACAGATGTTTGAGCACCATGTACCACATAAAATCAGTTTGAGGTCAATAACTACAACCAAAATTAATACATAAGGCTCACTGTCTTACTGCCTTATAGTCTGAAAAATACAGTAGTTCAGGTTAATTAGCACAGAAGTGGCTTCACTTGTGAATAAAACATATTTTTGTCTCATTGGGAGCTCTTAAGATGAACCAAATAAGTGTTGACTTGTTTTAACATTTGTCAGTATTTTCTAAATTTGCTCTGGTTTGATTTGGCTCTTTGAAACAGGGAATCTTTAGAAAAGTTATGAACAGTTAATATCTTACCTGTTGCGGATGGCTCTTTGAATGACCTCAGTTTGGAGAAACAGAGTTTAACGCTGACCAGATTGACGAGCTAATGTCTAGTCAGAGTAAAGCCAAGACCAAAGGGGATTGCTGCCATCCTAAAACCACTCTAATTAAAAATAAAATAAAAATTTAAATAGACCTTTAAATTGCTGTTATTTTGCATTTCACATTCCCACCATTTTAACTTCAATTTAAAACTGTCAAAAAGCTAAAAAAAAAAAAAAAGCCAATTTTTTTTATTGAACAAGCAAATAAACAGCAAACAACGTAATTAACTAACATTAGGAAGAAATCCAACAATTTTCACTCAGGTCATCTGGACAGTTGACTTGACTGAAAATTGTTGGATTGTATACCTGGATTATTGAGCATGGACTTTTTTGATTACGAAGAAATATTTCTTAGAATGGCGCCAGCCCAGATCACCCATGCCTGATATAATAAACTAAATTAAACTATTTTCACGACTGAGCTTGTCATCCGCTGCATAATTCACTTTTGTCTTAGACTAGCCATGAACTAGTCAGAAATGAACTCTATTGCTCTGACCTGAGGTTGTTCAAAAAACAAAATTTTTTTAACAGATCCCAACTTTACGTGATCTGAACGATAATTTGAATTTTAAATGCAACAATTTTTAAGTGAAAGCTGAAAGTTCAACTCAGTCATTTTTAGCAGAAGGAAATACATTTGAGTAAATTTTATGAAACAGAAGACCAGACCTGAGCCACAATCTTATACTCAACAGATAAATGTATATTTTAATTTTTGAACACAGATTAGAGTCTATAGTAAAAAAAAAAAAAAAAAATTGCTGCAGCCAACTATTCGCATACACACAAACAATACCATACACACACACTTTTGATCCCTGTTTAACCTTTGTGAGGCCCAAAAGCTCCCAGCAGCTGGTTGGTGGAGAACTCTGGGAACAGACCGAACCTGAAACTGTACGCTGAGATAATCCTCAATCAGAGTGGGGGTGCCGAAGGGAAAAGAAAAGAAAGAACAAACAGGAACAAATGAGGGAAAATTGAAGAAAAACAACCACTAAAGACTAAAGAGAAGGAATGAGATACAGAGCAAAATGAAATGCAATCCACTTGGACAGGTGGGAAAGATGACATTTAATTAAAATGTTTTTAAAAAAATGCTGTTGTCACATTTTATAGAGAAATGCAACCTGCAGTTGACACGGTTTGCTTCTACAACAGTCACAGTTTGTTTGGTTGAAGCTGCGACGGGGTACAAATGACTGCAATGCAATAACATGAACATTCTTTGGACTGTGGCATGTGCTGCATGCCTTCTCCACATGCAAACATGCGTGTGAGCATGTGCGGAGCAGCTGTTCCTGCGTTCTTAAAAATCCTCCATAATCTCCATGGCTCCCTCCGTCTTTCCCAAGATTCTCCTCTTCGTTTCTGTCCTCCGTGAGCGTCTCCGTCTCGTCGTGCACCCAACAATCTGCAGAACCAAACTGCTCACAGAAACTTGAAACCCCACAGGATCTTTAAATTAAAAAATTCAAACACTGGCTCGTGTGTCTTGAAAAGAATGCAGTAAACATCAACTTGCTTGAAGGTTTATGCAGCTTTTGTAATCTCACACAGATAGTTTCTCCCACTAATTTGTCCTACTTTTTGTTTTACATTCCATAAAGCACTTATTCTGATGAGATATTCTGATAAATTATATGAAAATCCTTCCAGTTACTTAGAGATGAAGAATATGATGGTTTTACAGTCTTAGCTGCTACATAAATAGAATACAAAAGAAATAATTAATACTGACTTATTAATGGTTGGCTTCTTGGCCAGTGTTTCAGTTTTCCTTCCACGTGTTAGAAAATCCCAACATGCCTTCACATTTCAGACGAAACCAAACCAAACATTGTTAAAGTATCCCCCTTCTCACATTACGGCATTTTAAAAAAAATAACCTTAACTTTCAGATTTTTTAAAATGGGGTTCAATGGAAAGGCTATGAATACACAATATCTTATGTGTTGCAGATAAGACTTTAAACAACATTAACTGAGAGTAAAACGGTTCAAGTCTGCCTGAATCGACAAGATGACTAGCCAAACTGGATGACCAGCTTCAAAAATCTTATAGCGGTTCATGAAAATTTAGTTTCATTCTTCACACTTTAATCAGTTTTATATTATACCATCATGCATATGGATTCTACGGTAATTTACAAGTGCAAATAATAGTGGCTAGCTGTATCTCTGCTGGAATAAAACTATAATGTAAAACGGACAATGGCAAGGCATAAAAGTGTAAATAACTAACATTTTGAGACCATGGTGAAGTGATAGTTGGAGATTTTTAGGTGATGCTCTGTCAAATAGTTATGAAGTTAGTGCCTTGGCTGTCATTTCAATCATAGAGAACAAAATAATGAAGAAAGAAGAAAAGCCCACCTAAGAGTCATCTAATCTAGCTAACCCAGGGGTCTGCAACCTGTGGCTCTGGGGCCACATGTGGCTCTTTAGTCCCTCATCTGTGTCTCTATGAAACTTTGACCAAAACTTACAGAAAATTTAATTCTTTTAGTTTTTATACCCACAACTAAAAAGGCTTTTTTTTTTTTTTTTTTTGTCAATAACAGTGAATGACACTACTATTGCTTTTGCTTTATTACTTCAAAGTGTAATACTTACTGGTAATTTCTCATCACATAAAAGGCCACAGAGGTCTGCAGAGTTCAGTGGTTTCCATTTTCATCTAAAGCTAGAAACTAGAAGTTTTTACTTATTTACATCATAGTTATTTTTTCTCAAAATGTAATAGCATTAAAAAAATGTTGAAACAAATAAAAGCACTCCTGTTCACAATTGATTAATAGTTTTAAAATGCCACGCCCACTGGTCAGAAGAGCCCTTTCCAACTAACTCAAAGTGGCCCATGAACCACCACTTGATAATTGCAGTTGTAGCAGGTGTCATGGCTCCAGGCTCTTTTTGATTTAATGAGTAAAGGGTCAGAAATGACTCTTTTGATCAAAAAGATTGCAGACACTTGAGCTAGGCAGACAGGTCCCTATTATAGACATTTTTAGACAAATAAAAGTACTCTTGTTCAAAAATATTCAACTGATGTAATACATTTTACAAGCTAAATTTAAACCTTTAAATCCTTTCTATAGTCACCATTTTACCGCGTTGCTACGCTAATACTACAAAAATGGAGACCAATCTGTCTAGCCACTTGGTCTTCATTACTTTGTCCTCCATGACTGTTTGACAGAGCATTACTTGAAACAAGACCAACCCATCCCAGTATAATACCTATTGTGGTCTTGGCCTCGCTTGAACTAGCCGTTAGCTCGTCAGTATAGTTTGAATGGACCAATTTACAGAGCAGATCTTTAAAATGTCATAGTGGATCGTGCAAACATCAATTAAACTGAGAGACTGTTTTATGTGCACAGTGTTCACAATTTTTTATTTCTATAACAGGCTCGGTTGCAGAGGAGTTGAAGCTAGCTGCTGATGTTTGTCCTCGCTTATATAGTTCGTTGTAACTAACCACGTAATGTGAAACTGCATAAAGGCCGACAAAATTTGCATAAACTGCAGATGCATCTTGGAGATATCGGTCCCTTTTCTTCTTGGATGTGTTTGGACTAGCCGTTAGCTTAGCTGTTTATAATCTTTCCGCAGAAACTTTGCTTCAGGGTGTCACAAATGTCTTTATAACACATCTTGGAATTTAACGTTCAAGCTCAGTCCCACATGAATATCTAATTTGTTAATCAGTTAAAAGGCCATTATTTTTGCTGAACACCTCAAGCCTTCCAACTCCTCCCTCATCTCCATGTGCTTTTATACTATACCTCATTCCTTCTGGTGTTTTTTTGTCCCTTTTCCACTCTGATCATTAGCGTTCACACCTTCTGTTGTGCATTTCTGTGCTCAACCTCCTTCTGTAAAGATTTGATCAGAGATATTAAGACTGTAGCACTGGAAGCTGTTAAAATCCAAACAGGATTGAGCCACAGTGGATCAGATCTTGAACGTTGACGATTTGATTAATTTGAGTACAAATGCATGTAAAACACACTTATCAAATAAAGTAACTGCACGGGATGGACGTGGAGAGCCTCAACTCGTTCACAGTGATCTTCTGACAGCTTCTGTTGTCCTCAGATGGATACGGAAAATAAAAATACCCCTCAATATCCACAAACATTAAATCCACAATAGTAGACTTTCCTGTAGGCAGTCCATGATGATGGGATACTAATTATTTAATTTGTTTATACATTTTAAATATAAAAAATAGTTGCTATGATGAGTCTTTCTGAGTAAGAATTATCAGATCATTAATGTAGAGCTGATATCAGTCTTTTGGTAAATACCCTTATCTGCGAATTCAACAGTTTTTTGCATTCAGCTCTTTGTTTGTGTGGACAGAGGAGAAGCTCTTAAAGGAGGTCTGAAATGGGATTAAAATCCTTTTGGAGAATTTTTATGTTCTCGCCACGTTTAACACCAGGATTCATCCGTAATTCTTGTCCGCTCAGAAGGAGCGCCGGCCTTTGGTCTCTCGAAGTGTTTCTGGAGAGGAATGTCCTAGAAATTACTGAAGAGCTCGTATTTCTTCATCCAGTCCATCTGCGGCGCCTTCTTCTTTTCTTTGGAGTGGACTTTCAACTTCTCCTCTGCCGCTGTGGCGCTCAGACTCAGGCCTATCTCAGCAAACGGGTCTAAGAGCTGGCTGCCCTCGTCATCAGCCAGCTGGAGAACAACAACAACAACAACAAAAAGGAGATGGAAATATGAATCAGATAAAAGGGCTGGGGTTTGGACTTTGATGCAGATGACCAAACGTGCATGAATGCTCTCACCCACCTGCGTGCTGTTGCCCTGGCTGCTGAGGTCAGACTGAGTGGACCTGATGGACTGAGTGGTGGAGTTCCCGTTGACCTGAGTGCCGTTGGATATGGGCGGACCATCATAATCTGGGAACACAAATGGCTTTCAGTGTTAGAAATATGTAAAAAATGTTTTACACAATGTCTGCACATATGTTTGTGTTTGTTAGCAAAATATCTCATAAACTATTGCACAGATGAATGAAGATCTCAGACAGTAATCATTTCCTGTTAATCTACAGACAATCCAATATAAGATATAACTTCAGCTGACACAAAAAGGCTATAACACGGTCCATTTTCAGGATATTAGGCTACAATTTGATGTGATAGTAGCTGAGAGTCATCCACACCACATACTCTGAGTGCTAACATATAGCACAAGATGCTAGGCTTTTCATTGGTTAAAAATTTAACATGCTGTGGGCTAAATGGAATGCGCTCCGGTGCCAAATGTGGCCCACAAGCGGATGATCATGGCTTTAAATTAAAGCACTACCAGACATCTTGCATTAAAATTCCTGCCATCCTATTATAAAAAGTCAGTGCAGGCTCCATGATAGCAGTGAAACTCCACCTTTGACGTGGCTGATCGTAGGAACCACTCCACTCTTCTTAAAGTGTTCGTCCGTGTCCGGATCCACCACCAACAGCCACGTCTGGTCTCCTCCTTTCTTGATAAAGGCCACGACCTCCGAATGCTTCATACCCTCAATGCTCACACCGTTCACCTGCCGAGCATAAGAGGACATTCTTTGTGTGACAATGGGTACAAAGTACAAATTTTGATCTGTAGAGCCTGAGCACTGTGATGCAGAGATCAGCTTTAGGGGAGAACAACGTTCATTCTATTCCTTCATACATCTGTACAAATAAATGTCCATGTCATTGAACACAGCATTCAACAATGAGTACATGTGATCCCTCATTTGTCCACCAGGGGGAGTCAGGTAACAACAAAACAATTCGAGGCCGGGCCACATGTTTATTATTAGGGAGCATGCAACGTTTTCACAGTTTTTCATTTCTTTTTTTAAAGTTATGAGTAATAAATAAAGGTTTTCCCTCCCCAAAAAAAAGCCTCAGAATACTGTACATAATAAAATGAACACCAGCTCATACTGACACCTCTTTGACCTCTGCACGCTGACATTCAAACAACCGTTTGCTGCAAGCTGCTCTCTTATCTGTTTGCTTTGCTTCAACTCTGCTCAGACCTTGGCTTCTCAGCCGTAGCATCGCACCAAAGTTAGCTTTGGTACACGATCAATTATTGATGGCTCTCCTGAGCTCCGGCTGTGCCACAGGTTTCAGGTGTCCGTGTGGCGATGGGGAATTTGTTTAAAATTCACTGCTTATAACACGACGGGGCATTCCAGGTGGAGGGGAGAAGACAACAGAGCAATAAGAAGGGGGGAAAGTTAGATTTTACGACCACTTTGAGCAGAACATAGGTAAACAACATGATCGTGCACAAATGGATGCTGAGAATTAGACTTTATGGTTTCTTCAGGGAAAAGTGGGAAAGAGAAATGGAAGAGGAGAAGGCCACTGTGCAAAGAAGGAAATGGAAGAATGTCATCAACTGGAAAATGTGAACCTCTCCTCCTCCTGTTCATTTTCACGTTTTATCCCAGGACAGAGACAGTCTATCACAGTGAGAACAAACATCTTTGTACTGGACCAACAACAGGTGTTGTGTTGTGGTTCATTAACAAAGCAGCCCACACAGAATAATACACTGCTCTCCTCTCACTAAGTTAATTAATACATGCTGTAGGAACAGAGGACAGACTTATTTCCCATGAGACTACTCTTCAGGAAACCTCTTGAGACTGAATGTGTGTTTGACTTCACAGATGTTTCACCTGCAAGTTGCCTGCTCCCTTTTCATGTGAACATAAAGACAAAAAAAAAAAAGGAACATTCATTAATTTGCAATATACAACACTTGAAATAATACTTTTAAGTATTGGCAACCACAGCCAACTGGTCCACAACTAAGTGAATTTAGCAGATACTTAGCTAAAAGTTGACGCAGTATTTCTTTATAAATACTTTGAGAGCTCTTGGGAGACTTGCTAGAGCTCAGTTTTCCAGGAGGTCGTGTTTTACGTCATTTTTACGTCATAATTTGCACGGTAGATCAGTTGGTAGAAGTGTTGCCTCTCTGCGAGAAGGTTGCTGGTTCAAACCCAGGCCCAGGACCTTTCTGGGTGGAGTTTGCATGTTCTTTCCATGCATGTGTGGGTTTTCTCCGGGTACTCCGGTTTCCTCCCACAGACCAAAAAGGATTCAAGGATTCAAGGTTCTTTATTTGTCATTCACACCACATGTGAAATTGTGTACACAGGGTCCCAGCTACATCCAACAAAAGTATTAAAATGTAAAAGAAAAACAGTAATAAGATCTACGATATGAACTAAGAAAAATGTTAGTAAAAAATACATTAAGCATTAATAGCATGAAAACAATACACTGAACAGCAGCACGAACATGAGTCTGTGTGAGCAGATGAGCACAAATGAACAGAGCAACATGAAACAGATCAGCAGCAACATGAAATAGATTAGCAGAAACATGAAACAGATCGGCAGCAACATGAAACAGATCAGCAGCAACATGAAACAGATCAGCAGCAACATGAAACAGATCAGCAGCAACATGGAACTGATCAGCAGCAACATGAAACAGATCAGCAGCAACATGAAACAGATCAGCAGCAACATGAAACAGATCAGCAGCAACATGAAACAGATAAGCAGCAACATGGAACAGATCAGCAGCAACATGAAACTGATCAGCAGCAACATGAAACTGATCAGCAGCAACATGAAACTGATCAGCAGCGACATGATGTGATGTTTCATAGTGATTATTCTGGTTAGAGATTCATGAGTCTAACAGCTTCAGGGTAGAAGCTGTTCCTCAGTCTAGTGGTTCTACACTTAATGCTCCTCAACCTCCTGCCTAAGGGGAGCAGGGCAAAAAGTGTATGTGCTGGGTGTGTGGGGTCCGTCATGATGCAGGTGGCCCTCTTCCTGCACCTGGAGGTGTAGATGTCTATGATGGTGGGGAGGCTGAGTCCAACAGACTTCTGTGCAGCCTTCACCACTCTCTGCAAAGCTTTTCTTTCAAAAACATGTTAGACTGATTGGTAACGCAAAATTGTCAGGTGTGAATGGTTGTTTGTCTCTATATGTCCCTGTGATGGACTTGCGACCTGTCCAAGGTGTCTCCCGCCTCTCACACAGTGGTGGCTGGACATGGGCACCAGTGACCCCCATGACCCAAAAAGGAAGAAGCGGGTAAAAGATAATTTATGGATGGATAATTTGCTCATTTACACACGATTACTTTTCAACTTCAAAATAAAGTCCTTATTATTTTTACCCTTAGGTAAAAATAATTGAACATGCTGATACAAGTCAGAGCCTCAGCAGGTTTTTCTGCAGTATAAACTGGTGTTTATATCGTTTCAGTGTCAGTGTTGAACTTATGGCTCTACAGTTTTATGCTGCAGCCTGATGGGCAGAGATGGTGCCCTGGTAGAGAGCTGTCTGTTGACAAGACAAGAAGTTTGAGGGTTTTGTCGCCTAATTTTTTTACTCAATTATTCTGTCCTGAGGAATACATTTCTCACTTGTGGAAACAACAAATCTCTGAGAGTATTTTACCAAAACAAGAATCATTTATCGTTTTTCTTTCTCTGTTTTTTTAGCCCGCAGTGTTTTTGGCACTACCTTGCGAATGGGCAGTTTATTGTTGTGCATGACATGTTGTCGGTGTGCCCAGTCATAAAACCTGGACTGCACGCCGCTGATCACAGCAGGACCTGATGGATCCTTCTTACTAATACAGATGAAACAATTTAATCAGGATCAATGAAAGCCCAGAGGATGGAGCAGGGAGTGGGTTATGAATTAAATCCCTGCACAGCTGTATTACTTAAGTTAATTTAATCAGAAAAATATACAAGGAACTAAAATAAAAATATCCTAAATTATTAATACAATATTCCTCCCTGAAACGGTTAGTAAAAGTGGCGTAACAACAAAAGACAAGTACCGTTTTTGTACTTGAGTGTAGTTCTTGAGTAAATATGAATATACAGGATCTTCACACTCCTAGTAAAATAAGAGGTTATTGTAATGTAAAACATGATCTGATTTATGTTACAATGATGCAGGGAGGAAGAAATCATGATACAATCATGAAAAATCATTAAAATTATAACCTTAACTGGGACTTCTTAAACTTGTACTACCGGTATAATGAAAAGTATAAAAATTGTAGCTGAGAAAAAGAAAGAAAATACTACAAAGATGCAATACGTTGGCTGCTTAAGTCTGCATATCCTTAAATTAATAACTTGCTGAAGCATCGTCTGGTTTAATTACAGCCTTTGTTCTTCTTGGGAACATACCTAGCTCATTTAAAGTGGCTGATCAACATAAGCTAAAGTTCAGCTGTCTCATCAGGATTGTCCTCACATTCACTTACAGTAGTTACATCCTATATCTAAACCCAAGGTTCACAGACTGTTAAAAATATATCAATCAGGAGATGAGTTCAAGAAAAAAAAGCATTAGATTTCCAGTGGAAAACAGTGAGGAGAGTCATTAAGAAGTGGAAGAAATATGGAACAACAGTGACATTACCACAAGCAGAACGTCCTCCAACACTAATGAAAAGACGAGATGGAAACATGTCGGGGAGGCTGCCAAGAAACCTACAACAATACTGAAGGAGCTGCAGGAGGTTCTTAAAATACTGATCGTACTACATGTGACAACACTCTCATGTGTTCTTCATATGTCTGGACTCTGAGGTATGAAAGCCTTTTCTTACATCAAACAAACAAACAAAAACCCTGTGGTCAATTGTGTTTTTGCCTGACTAACCCAAAGTGGACCTTTTTGATCCACATTCCAGCAGGTCTGTTTGGTCCAGGAACAAGACTGTTTAACCACTTAATTTGTAACCTGACTGATGCCGGAATGCAAATAGCAGGCGGTCCGGCATCAAATATAAGCTGTCCCTAATATTTTGAATAAAGTAGCTGCGATTTCCTGCATTTTGGAGTATTTTAACAGGTTGTTAAACATCTACGTTTACCTACATTTGTAAACACTCCCCTTCTGTCAAGCATCCACCCCTTTACTTGACGGTCCCGAGACAGACACTGTCCCTGCTTGTTGTTGTCCAACTCCACATGTCAAACCTCCAGGCGCCTGCCTGCGTACGACTTCCTGGTTGTACTCAGTACTCACCCCCACCACTCTTTCAGGGGCGGAGATTTTTTTCAAGGGTAGACGTGGAAATGCTACTTGAAGGGGCAGCGCGTGTGCTCGTAAGTGGGTGTTGTGTTTAAAATGAGTGTTTATGTAATTATTTAAAGTTTACATATCCAGTATAAGTTTTGTTCGTTCAAGGCAGTCATATTTGTTCATATCTTTATTATTAGGCCTGAGAGTTACTGGATCCAAGCAAACAGTTACCGGAACACACCCGGTCAAATTAAAAGAGTTACCAGATCCCGTTCCGGCAGGATCCGGTTCAAATTAAGCCCCGAGAATGACCATAAGTACACCATTCTCACAGTAAAACATGGTTGTGGCAGCATCATGCTGTGGGGTTGCTTTTCTTCTGAAGGATCTGGAGTTTTTGTCAAAGTGGAAGGACTTATTAACAGCTGCAAACACGTGTTTATTTAGATTCTTGTGTCTGGTGCTCATTTATGTGATTTTGTTAAAGTTCTCAGAGTTCACTCTTGAGTGAAGCTACAGCAGAGACCGGTGAGGCGTTCACTGAACGCGGGCAGAAAGTTGAGCTCTCGCGTTGGCCTTACTACACTCGCTGATACATCTCCAGCGTAATGAGCCGTGGGCAGAAAGAGCTCTTCATGGCTGCTCACCTCCCTAACAAGCTGCTGACAGACAACATAAGCACTTTTATGATTAGAGACGAGTGTAATTATCAGGGTGCATGCACTCACACACAAACACATCACCCGACCAACACCATCATGACCTCAGATTGATCGGTCCAAATGCAGCTAATAAGCTCCAGATAAAGTTGTTTGTTTTTAGGAGGAAAATTTCAAACATTTGTGTAAAACTGACTTAAAAACGTAGCAGAGTTTCAGATGACTGTCAGAAGCAAAACTCCTGCAACTTTATTTGTCAGATCATGGTAATGTGAGCAGAAAAGGTGTCAAATGATGCTTGGAACCCCAACTTTTTGTTTGAATGTACTCGGAGGCTAAAGGAAAACATCTGGGAACCACCTCACAAACCAAAGATTGAGGAGGATCTGTAGATAGCTCAGTTCAGAAAACTAAAGACCTCAACAAACAACCTTTTTGCTTTTGGATATTTGTTATGATGCGTAACCATGACAACAAGGTGTTTTTTTACAATTGGGAGCAACCGATTAACATCTCAAAAGCTCAAATAATACCTCAGCTACAGCCCCAAATCACAAATGAGTTTAAAAAAGGAGGTGCCGTGGATGCATCCCCGTCTACCTGGCGGAGGTGCTTGAGTACCTGACCGCCGAGATCCTGGAGCTGGTGGGAAACACAGCTCGTGACTACAAGAAGACCAGGATCATCCCCTGACACATGTAGCTGGCTGTCCACAATGACAAGAATCTCAACAAGCTCCTGGGAGGAGTGGTCATCGCTCAGCTCAGGGAGGAGTTCAGCCCAAGATTCAGGTGGTCCTGCTGTCCTGGAAGGCTGAGAAACCCACCAAGACCAAGTAGACAGATCAACATCAGCAACCAGTTTCTTCAGATCTGCTCTAAGATGGACCGCTACAAGAGATCCTTCCTGCCCACAGCCATCAGCATCTAGAACAACTCTTTAATGAAACCATGATGATGTGCTACAACAACATTTAATTTCCCCTGGAGATAAACAAAGTATTTCTGAATTGAACTGAATTTGAAACAAGTGGACAAAATGGAAAGATTGGACGTGTTCACTTTATTTCTAAATGGAAACATATCAGGAAAGTGATAGACGCCTGCTGCGGTGACCTTTAACAGGATGTTCCCACAGATTCTCTCCAGTAAAGCTCCGAGCCGTCGTTCCCTCTAATACTAAGCCACTTTAATGTCATTAATATTTTGCCTTAAACAGACTATAAAACTGAGCAACGTACCCTAAATTTATTAAAGCATGGTTATGAATGGACGTCATTTATTTACTGGTGGCACTGATAGAAAACACTCTTGATTTTTTCTTTCATTATAAAACATTTGCAACATTTTCAGTAACCGTGTCAGTGAAGGTCCATTAGAGTAAAGAAAGCATGTTAAAATTAGCTGCCATACAAAATGATTAGGATATATGCATTTGCAGCTTTTGAACTGAAACTGATCTTGACTGAAATGGTAATCAGACTCTGCCCGGACCCTGACATTCAGCCGGGGAAGCCAAAGATCCTGGGAAAGACGTGTGACTGCTTTGTGTTTACCCTCAGAATCATAAAAAAACTGTTTATGAAAAGGATGGATATAAATTATTTAGAGCAGAAAACTTCCAGCTTGTTGAAGACTTCAATAACATCTACAAGACAACCTTAAGACACGAGACTGTTTCTTTGTATTCTTACATCTTTCCTCTATTTTATAAAATGTTTTATATGCATCATTTGTTTTTCTTGTAAGGTGTGTAAACAAACTCCCCTCCGCCTTCGGCCTCATCTTCAGACACGTGCATGACGACAGCTGCCTTTTAAATCACAGCTGTGATAATCGGGAGACGGGATCACATCTGTGTCTCATTAGATGCGAGACAAATAAACTGTAGTAAAACTTGGCTAATGTTTTGTAGCATCAAGTCCAAGCTGTCTTATTGTCTTTATTTTAATATAGCAACTAATTAAAATTTAAGGAAAGCACAACCAAGCAGAGCTGTTTCTTTTGCAATCACCGTGCAAATAAATTTCCAGTTTTGGAAAGAGCCTTTTACTTGGAAATGCGTGGACGGTGCTGTGTGCCAGAGTTCCAATCAAACCTTATTTATCCACAGGAGATGAAATGGAAAGCTGTGTGGAAATTATGCCACATGTGCAAAACTACAAAAAAGAAAACAGCCCACAGTACAAGGACACCAAAAAATAAAAAAATCAACAAAACAAAGGAACCATGCATAAGGTGAGGGGTTAAAGCACTTTTCTTGTGGGAACTTTCTCACATGGTGTCAATTATCCTCGTCTCTGACACAAACCAGACAATCCCAGTGTCATTTATAAATAATCGTTTTTTTCCGTCTGCTGTGTCAGCCGAGTCGTGCACTGACTCACTGAATGTCTCGTTACATTTTGACATTTTTCTTTCAGCTTATCAACCCAACTTTCCCTTTATTGGTTGTGCACCACAACCCCCAGATTGCTGAGTTACATTTTGAGTTCTGAACACGTTTAAACTCTTCCTTCCTACCTCGATGAGTCGATCCTGGGGTCGGAGTCCAGCACTTTCTGCAGGCGATCCCTGGTCTAGGGAGCGGATGTACTGACCGGGCCGCGACCGGTCACTGTGGAGGTTGAATCCGTAGCCCATCTTGGACCGCACCAGGTGGCACAGACGCGGGACGAGCTCAGACGGGTCGATCTGAGGACTGGACTGGGGCTGAGCGGGATCTTCCTCCGGTGTTACGGCCTCCTAGAAGAAAACAAAACAAGTGTGTTGGTAACTTTTTAGATGGCAAAGCAGAAATCCTATTTTTTTTTTTAATAACCAACAGGAGTTCAGGAGCTCAGAAGCTTCACACACTCATCAGCCAAAGCATGGCTACAGTTATGAGCTGCAGAAAGAGCTTCTCTCAGTCTGCTACACAATACACAGTGTCAGACAAAAATATTCACCAAAACCTGTATGTGCTTTGAATTCTCCTTTCATCAGCTGAATCAACAGAGCTCCACGAAGGACCGTTCTGTAGATCACGAGCAATAAAACCCTTATCGTGTCGAATCGCAGCAGTATTTCAAACACATGCACTCTGCAGCGGCATTAATATTTGAATTAAAGTGAAACTGATAGAGTTGTGTGTGTTGCATTAAGGTGTTGAGCACACACCACTGCATCATGGCTCGAGGTTCAGAGGAGAACGACTCAAGTGCAGGACTAAGCAGGTAGTGAGCGATCGCAGCAAAAAACACAATCATAAAACAAAAAAACATTTCTTTAGAGAAATGTGCATTTTGAGCTGGATTATAATGGATATAAAACAGCTTATTATTTGGCCCATTAGAGGCTGTCCACATGGGAACAGTTTTGTAAAGCTTTAGCCTTGCATCCACGTGGAAACATCTAAGGAACCCAAAAACTTTTGCTTGAAAACGAGTTTCAGGATGAAAAAAAGATAAAAATCTTGAAATGCCACCCTAACTTTTATGTGTAGATATAGACAGAATACAAACCTTATGAAAATGATGATGTCACCACCCCACCTCCAATCTAACCTATGACTCTTCGTGTGTTTACGTTTCACACCCAGCCTGTAAGCCTTCTGTGCAAACTGCACGCCTTGTTTCCTGTTTTGGGTGCATTTTAATGGCAGCGCCACACACAGGCCATACAGAGATCTCTTGAACCAGTGCTGTGCTATATTTTGACAAAAGATCATTTTAGAAAAACGGTACTTCCATGTGGACAGCTAAGTGTTAAAAGGTGATGATTGAAAACTTGATAGACTCACTTTAATGAGCCAGCCCACGAACATTTGACACAAAAGCAGCTAGAGTGCATCACCTCACTTCAGTATGCTGTAGGAAGAATATCATTTGATCAAATTATATTTAGGTCATGAAGAATAGTTTTGTCTAATCACATTCAGACGATCCTGTGCAGTCCACATTTCTCCCTGTTTTATTCCGTGCTGTACATCACTTGACACGAGATGCCGCACTTCATAAACAGCGTTTTGGTTTAGTGTGAAACGCTCCTTTCGCAACATACTGTGTTTCCGACAGCTCCACCAGCTTGGCTGCAGACATTTATAGAAGCTGTCTAATTGTGCCTTGAGCTCGACATCGTGATCACACTCATTTACCACCTACACACACCCGCGAAAGAACTCAACTGAGGGTTGGATGAAGGTTTCGTGTCCAGCTCTGCATCCTCAGCTGATACTGACACTAAACAGAACGGGTGACCTGCAGGAGCTCACATGAATACGACATCCTCATAAACTCAGAACACATCCCAGATCTTGTTATGTAACTATACTGTATACATGAGTCCAGCTTGTGCAGACTAAAAATACACCCGCAGCGTGTGAGCAAGGTGAGACACAAAGACAAAGACACAAAGGTGCATGTTATAACAAGAGATGACGGCTGCTGATTTGATCTACTCAGTAAGCTTTAAACTGAGCCGATCCAACTAATAAAGTGTTTGGCTGAAGAAATACTAAATACAAGAACACAAACTGAAACATATCATTTTGTTTCAAGTGTCTGACAATTTAGGGTAGCAGCGATCTGGGCAGCTTGCTCTGAAATGACGGTTGACAACAGAAACATTCAGATGTACACATCTCCCATGGCTCCCTGCACATCCTGAAGAAGCGCTTGGTTTGGGGTAATTCTTGATATATACTTTTCTCAAAACCCAAATTTGAAATCAGAAGTTCATTACTTCCCTGGGACCTGGGGTGAACGAGGGAAGAAAATGCAGAAAAAGGGAGAGGAGGAAAGAAGCAGGCAAGGACGGAGCGAGTGTGTGGGAGGGTTGGAGAAAATGAGATGCAGGGAGAGTTGAAGAGAAGAGATGGAGTGCAGAGAAAGATCAGGACGTCTGAAGTTTCCACTGAGACCAGTCGGTGAGGAACTGAGTCCATAGTGAAGCTCTAAAGTAAACACTGAGAGGAGCCCAGCTGGGAGTCATTATGTTGGGGGAGACGCCAGTGCCTACCAGTTTAACCTCTCAGTGCTGAGCGGCACCCCACTAACGACCCTCTAAACCGTGTGAGCTTGACGTATCGTGCATTTAAACACCTTCCTTATTGTCATCCACCACCAAAAGGTCAAGGTGGAGGATAACCGTTTTGCCCGTGTCTCTGTTAGCAAAATATCTCACGAACCGCACAGTCAGTTTTAATTAGCCTGATTGAAGATGGCTGCCACAGCCAACTAACCTTGAAAATCATAAAATGGCTGTAAGTCAGTCAATTAGACAGAAGTTGAGGTAAAACTTGGTGATGGCTGAGAGTCATTCACAACACATACTCTGAGGGTGACATCTTGCAGTATTGCATGAGATTGCGCATGCCGCTGTTTTGCAAGATTTTGACCAAAAACAGCTATAACTCTGTCATTTCTCAACAAAAATATGATTTTAGTTTGAAACTAATTCGCCCAAGGAAGAATTCCGGTTTGCTCCAGATGTCCAGGGTTTGTGCTGAAACACATGCTGCTGATGGATAAAAGTCCGATGATCTGAAAGTGTCAACCGAAGAGGCATTCAGGGCCTGAAGGAGTGCAACAAAACAAAAGGAAATGAAATTCAATGCGACCACTGTGTTTGTTTGAACTGCGGGGGATGAAAACTTGTTTTTCGGGGAGAAATATTTTGACTTGAGGATAAAGAAATAACTTGAATTTTTCCCTTATTGTCAGCAAACTCGCTTGTTTCCAGGAAGGCTCTTAGTTTTCAACAGTGTACTTTAAAAAACAAGAAAACATTCCCCACATGGGAGGAGATGCAGCAGGAACCGCTGGAAAAACACACAGCCGGCTGCAGCACAACTCAAAACGTGCTCGTACGGAACATCTAGTGATAAATCACTGAAACTATATGGAATATCTGACACCCACCACAAAACATACATGTTTTATTTCCAACAATACACACATGAATGTTCTGACCCCAGAGTCCCGTCTGGGCCCACTGAGAGGATGTGCGGTCGAGGGAACCACCGCAAATTCCACAATCGGCTGCAACAATCAGCTTTTGTTTGGGTCTCTCTCAGTAAGTACATGTACACACACACACACACACACACACACATACACATGAGAAAAATGTCAAAGATGAAGCTTTTGACTAAATAAACCCAACCTTCAACTCACAGACAGACTCACTTTTTCCGCAGTAGCTGACGTTTTTAACTGCCAAAGGCGAAGGTTGAGCAAAAATGTTTTTGCCCGTGTCAGTTTGTATGTTTATTCATCTGTACCTTTAGAAAAACATCTCACCAATCACAACACAAATTTTACACAAAATTTTTGGAAAGTAATTGCTGGGTTGATGTCTTCATTAAAACTTGATTCATGAATGGTCGCCACAGCAAAGCAATCTTAGCAAACACCAAAATGGCTAGAACAGGGGTCTGCAACCTGCGGCTCTAGAGCCACATGTGGCTCTTTGGTCCCTCCGCAGCGGCTCTTTCAAGCTTTGACCAAAACTGAATTTTATAGGATGTCATACCCACAACAAAAATGACTAGTTTTAGCTCTTTTCCTGTCATTTCCTTTGCAAATATGTGGATACTAGTACTAATAAATAGTAAATTATACTCACGTTATACTTTATTTCTTCAAGGTAAGAGTCTGGAGACTCAATCTCAATATTTCCACAAAAAAAAATCACATACTTGTATGTCTGCACAGTTCAATGTTTTAGTAAAAAAAAATTGGCAAAAATTATATACATACACACACACATATATATATATATATATGTAAATATATATCTTTACAAAAATTCAGTCTTCTGTGATGGACTGGAGACCTGTCCAGGGCTTCCCCTGCCTCTCGCACAGTGACTGATACTTTGTATATATGGGCACCAGTGACCCCGTGACCCAAAAAGGAAGAAGTGGATAAAAGATAATGGATGAAAGGATGGATGAATGGATGGATGGAATCAAGTGTTTTCTTTTGTCTCAAAATGTAAAAATATCAATAAATGTTTACAATCATTGGTAAATGGACTGTACTTATATAGCGCCTTTCTATCTTATTTCAAGATACTCAAAGCTCTTCACGCTACAATCTGTGCCTCATTTACCCATTCACACAGCACTCTACTACATCTCTACAAAGCTAATTGAACAAATCATTCTAAAGAGACTAATCAGTGCTTTAGATCACATTCATACACTGATGGGACACACATCAGAGGCAACGAGGGATTCAGTGTCTTGCCCAGAGACACTTCAGCATGTGACTGCTGGTGGATTCGAACCCCCCAACTCTCGCATTGGAGGACGACTGCTCTAACCACTCAGCCACAGCCGCCCCACATGGATGTTTTTAGTTTTATAATTTCATGCCTACTGGCCCGAAAAGCCCCCTCTAACAAACTTAAAGTGGCCCAGTTGATAATGCCAATTGCTTTTGTGGCTCTGGACACGTTTAATTTAGTGAATGAAAGGGCAGAAATGGCTCTTTTGATCATAAATGTTACAGACCCCTGGGCTATGACTAAGTCAGTGTTACTGATATTAAGCCAAAATGTGGTGTGGTAGTAGTTGAGGGTGACCCCCAACTTGTACTCTGAGCACTAACTGATCTGTGCGTCAAAATTTCTCGTTTCATGAACAACCGAATGGATTTGAATTAACTTTTCTTTTTTTTTTAAATAATCAATGGGTGTACGTCTACAACTGACTAGCTTTTGGGGTCAACCCAATCCAAGATGATCATCACAGATTCTCA